CTTCAGACTCCTGGTAAGCCTCGGCCTTGGCTACTTGATTCCGCGTGTTATAATCACATGACAAGCGATGTTCATAAATTCGATTCCATTGCTCCTATGTCTAATTTGGAATTGCAAGTTGCTAATGGTCACCATTTGCATGTGCATGGAGTTGGACGTACTTGTGATTCTAACGTCCAACTTAGTCAAACATTATATGTTCCGAATCTTGTTCCGAATTTGGTTTCTGTTGGGCAATTAACTGAACAAGGTTTTGTTATTGTGTTTACACCATCGGGGTGTGTTATTCAGGATTTGAAGACGGGGAGGCCAGTCGGAAGGGGGAGTAAATGTGGTCGTGTGTTCCACTTGGAGGAGTTTGTGCCAACGCCATCGTCAACTATCGTGTCCCCATTCAAGTCTTCTATTGAGTCTTTATCTTCGTCGGTTGCGTCTTGTTCGTTGTTACCTTCTGTTTTTTCGATTTTGAGTGCTCAAAATTTGGATCTTTGGCACTCGCGTTTAGGTCATTTACATTCGGAAAAACTCGCTACCATGTTTCGTCAAAACTTACTCGGCAAGAATAAAGTTGGCACTTGTTTTAAGTCTCCTTGCACGACCTGTATTGAGGCTAAGACCCATCGGCAGTCATTTCCCTTGAGTAAATCCAAGTATTCTACTCCTTTTGAATTGGTCCATTCTGATCTTTGGGGACCAAGCCCGGTTACATCTCGTCACGGGTTTCGTTATTTCGCTTTGTTTGTTGATCAGGCTACCCGGTATGTTTGGGTGTACTTCCTGCGGCTCAAGTCTGAACTGCTCAGTATTGCTACCGAATTTGTTGCGATGGTGGCTACTCAGTTTGATAGACCGGTGAAGGTGATTCGCTCAGATGAAGGCGGAGAGTTTAGTTCTCATGAGCTACTTCAACTATATCGAGATAAGGGGATCCTGTATCAGAAGGCTTGTCCCGGTGTTTCGGAACAAAATGGCGTTGTTGAAAGGAAAAATCGCCATGTCTTGGACATTACACGAGCTATTTTATTGCCCTCCCATGTTCCACCTAAATTTTGGCCGGAAGCCGTGGCCACTGCCGTTCGATTGATGAACTATCAGATCACTCCTCTCCTTGGTCAGCAGAGTCCCTATTTTTCATTGTTCCGTAAACATCCTGACTATGCTAGACTGCGTGTCTTTGGGTCTACTTGCTTTGTTCTTCTTCCGCGTCGTGAGCGCACTAAGTTGTCCTCTAAAACGGCTAAGTGTGCTTTTCTTGGTTATAGTAGTGTTCACAAGGGCTATCTTTGTTTCGATCCGAGTCTGCAACGCATGCGTATTGCTTACCATGTTGTCTTTCTTGAGCGTCTTCCTTTCTTTTCTTCTTCTCCTGAGTCTGAGTCATTCTTGTCATTCTTGAGTGAGTTTCCTTCTAGCTTTGACGATGGCTTGGTTTCAGAAGAGATTGCTCCCCCACCTCCTGACTCGCCTCCCTGCTCGCCCTCGTCCGCGGGTTCTTCTAATTCCTCCAGCAGCTCGTCTCCAGCAGCTTCTCCATCTCCACCTACGGATCTCGTTGTGCATCGCTCCAATAGGCAGAACCTCGGCCAACTCCCAGCTAAGTACCATGATTTTTATACCTATAGTGTGGATTCAGTTGCTATTCCCACTCGTTATAAGCAACCTGTGGGTATTAAAGTTTGGGACGATGTTATGACAGCTGAAATTTCGGCGCTTCATGCCAATAATACATGGACTGTTGTTCCTCGACCTCCGCCGGAAGTTCCAGTTGTTGGATCTCGATGGGTTTACAACATCAAGTTTCTTCTAGATGGTAGGATTGAACGTCACAAAGCACGAGTTGTTGCTCAGGGGTTTAGCCAGGAGTATGGAGTTGACTATACTGAGACATTTGCTCCGGTCGCCAAGATGGCCACTGTTCGTACGTTACTTGCTATTGCCGCTTTGAATGACTGGCCCCTTTTGCAGCTTGATGTTCGTAATGCTTTCCTTCACGGGGATTTGGAGGAAGTTGTGTACATGGAGAGTCCTCCCGGTTATTCGGTTGGTTCGGATGGTGATGTGTGTTTACTTCATCGTTCATTATATGGCCTTAAACAGGCACCCCGGGCTTGGTTCGAAAAATTTCATCACACTATTCTTCAATTGGGTTTCAATCAGAGTCTTAATGATCCGTCACTGTTCTTGCGCTCTACTAGTGCTGGTCTTGTTGCCTTGTTGTTATATGTTGACGACATGGTCGTCACGGGTAGTGATTCGGCGGGCATCGAGGAGCTTACTAGTGGACTTCGTGAGCATTTCAGTCTTAAGGAACTGGGATCCTTGTCCTATTTCCTGGGCCTCGAGGTGCGTCGCTCACCGCAAGGTATTCTTCTTCATCAACAAAAGTATATTGACGATCTTTTGGATTCTACCCAGTTCGATTCTTGCACTCCCGTTCGTACACCCATGGAGATGAATTTAAAACTTGGACGAGATTGAGGGGAGTTGCTAGCTGATGGCTCCCGCTACAGGTCTATCGTTGGGAGTTTAATATATTTGACGCATACTCGACTAGACATTTCCTATGCTGTTCATATTGTGAGCCAGTTCATGTCTCAGCCTCGTGATCAGCATTTGACGGCAGTTCATCGTATTCTTCGGTATCTACAAGGTACTCGTGATCAGGGCATTTTCTATTCGGCTACTGGTCCTCGTGTTCTTCAGGCTTTCTCCGATTCCGACTTTGCTGGTTGTATTGATACTCGTCGTTCAACGACGGGATGGTGCGTACGTCTGGGTCATTCATTCATTTCATGGCGGTGTAAGAAGCAAGACAAGGTCTCCAAATCCTCCACGGAAGCTGAATATAGGGCCATGTCCGATGTGAGTTCCGAGATGGTGTGGTTACGGCGTCTACTGGCTGATTTTGATTGCCCACTTCCCATGGAGCTCTATGTCGATAACACTAGCGCAATTCAGATTGCTGCTAATCCTGTTCTGCATGATCGTACCAAGCACATTGAAGTTCACATACACTATGTTCGGGATTTGGTGACTGCCGGGGATGTTCGCCTATTCTATGTTACATCCGAGGACCAGCTTGCAGATTTGTTTACCAAGTCATTTACCATCAGTCGACACTCGTATCTCTCTAACAAATTGATGATACGCAACCATCATCAATTTGGGGGAGGCTGTTAATCGATGGTGTCTTTGGGTATTTGTCATTGGGTTTCGGTTTGTGATATGTATGTAATCAAGCCATTAGTAGCCATTAGTTGCATGGGCTTTGCATGGGCTTATACGTAGGTTAGCCCAGGATCTCTAGGATCCCTACGTTGGCCGATGGTCAGTAGGGTTAGGGTAGGCTGCCTTCGCTATATATATGTGTATTTGTACTTGGGATTGATCATCGAAGTAGAGAAGAGAATCACTATTGGCCGTGGACTAGTCTCGACGTACAAACGTCGAGGAAATCACGTAAATCGTTTTTGTTCTTGTTTCGTATTTGATTTGCTAATTGTTATCATGGTATCAGAGCCTTTTGTGACCGAGAGGTCTTGTGTTCGATTCCCAGTGACCCCCATTTGTTAAGCACATGGTATTCTTGTCTTAAGACCTGTGCAAACTTCAAGCCCTTGTGAGTGGCTTTCGTTTGAGGGGGCGTGTTAGTGTTGTGGTATATGATCCACGATTGAACCTCTCCCAACAACTCGAGTTATTGGGAGCAACTGGTTCTTGACACCTGGAAGTGTACTGAGACACACACTCGGTGTCTTGCTTTAGAGAGAAAATTACTTTAGATTTGGGATTCTAAAAGTGTTTAGCTTGGCAAAGATGCCTGTGACGTTCTTTTCCAGAAATCAGCAACATCGTTGATTTATAAAAGAATATTAACAATCATCGAATGGAATGAATATAAATGTTGCAATCAACTTTAGAAACGTATTGTTATTGTGTGAGATTATATTTGCATTCGCCTCCTCGCATGATAAGTTTATGGGAAACATGCTAAGATTGATAGCATGGTTGTCACGCCGGTCGGCGTGCCACCGGTTGTACCTGGTTCAATCGGTACCGGTTATAAAATCGGCATGACACCATCGGTATGACCGGCATGATCGATATATGAATCTCTGAGTAAATTGACCTTATTTTAGTGAATTTAATTGATAAAATTTATTTTATTATTTATTTTATGAGTATAAAAGTTAAATATTGATGTTATTTGTCGGATTCCAGTATAAATGTTTAGGTATTGACGTTAAATGTCATGTTTTAATAGGAGTATTTATAATTTTATTTGTAATATTGACCGGCATGAACCAGCACAAACCGGCATGTGCCGCCGGTTGAACCATTCCACTTTCTAAACCGGCACACTGGCATAAACCGGTTTGACAACCTTGATTGATAGTAATATTTGATTGAATCCTTTCAAGTGAATTCCTTTGACCAATATCCCTTTGCTCAATATACTGATCATATTCGATCAATTTGGTACCAGAATTCTTAAAAAGAAAAAACATATTTATTTAAACAAGTCACGCAGCAGGACATATCACTTCCAAAACATTCAATTTGGATCTTGGAGTTGGTCCAAAATTTTCAAACAATGAAGGAAGAAAGGGAGAAAAAAACACACACAAAACGGGTGGACACGTTTTAGGTCCACCGCAGATCGAAATGAATAACGGTATTTTCCTTCGAATTCCTTTCTTTTTTTCCCCACCTTTTTCTTTTAAAATAACAATTCACCAACCAATCCCCTCTTTTGTTTCTCCAAATTACCGCGAAAAGGGGAACGATTTGCCCGATTCCCCGGATTTGCTTTTTGCTTGACTTCTTGGTCGGCGGTCCATTTCCACTGACGAAGAAGAATCAAAGCAGACTTGGTAAAGAATAGTTCAGCCAATGTGTTGTTTGCGTTCACAGAAAAAGCTTCAAAGTCTTGTTAGAACTCGTCAATTGTACTATCCAAGCTACATGCTTATAGATACAAAAGACTTATTCTATGTTCATCATAAGGTAATATGAATGCGTCCATGATTACATGTTGATACTCATACTCTAATGACTCTTGGAATTGCTTGGTGTCAATTACCTAGATAACACTGGTGTTGTCATGAAACACTTCAATGACAGTAGATAATGTAACTAGATCAACTCTAAGCTAACCTTGGATATAACACGACACGATAATAGTTGTTATCAAAGCACTTGTGTAAGGACCATCTTTAAAAACCAGTATAAGTCTTACGATTTAAAAGTTAAAAATAACCATTTTGCATTCGTAGTAGATCTATTCGGTCGCATATGGTCTCTTAAGAACATTAAACCATCATAACAAGACTACGCTGCCGTTCAATTTTGCACAATACCCAGATTTCATAAATGACTGACAAATTATCTTGTTTCCTACGTCACCAAGAAACAAATGATTGTCCATTTCAAACGCACCATCTAGGTGAAACTTGTTAATCATCGAGGCTCTAAAGCCAAGTTGTACACGTTTTTCATGTGTTGTTGTTGTCAGGAAACACCTTAATCGGTTCAGAACACGAGAAATCATCCTTTCGAAAGAACGACGTAACTATCACAACGTTGACCTAAAATCGAATATATATAATGTGATGCTTAGCTTGTGTTGATGACTCGGTGCACAAACTTGTTCTTACATTGCTATGAAACAATACAACTCATTTAGAATACATTAGCGAGTTGCAAATTAATGGGTATCAAGACATCCAACACAAATGTCATATGCAAAATTTTATACTCATCAAACCAACATAAATAGTAGACAACACGATACATTTTTGTATACAATCTTTTCCTTGTTAGGACTATACTAAATCAGAATTCGAAGCATCAAGCTCAATAAATCAAAACCAAATTTATTTACATACTAAAACAACCTAACTAAATATATACAAAATTTACGTACTCAATCGATTCCTTCAACAAATTCAGCACGGTAGATTCAGTTAGACACTTACGATTGTGAGTTCGTGACACTAATCCTCTAGTGACCACACTATTTTCCCTACTCTTCCCCACACACAATCACATCCTCCCCCAATATGAATTCAAAATAGGAAAGCGAGGTCCAAAAAGTATCCATTCCCACAACGGGACTTTCTCTCTCCTATCACCTCTCTCTCTCTCTCTCTACCTCCTTTCCTTCGCCACTCCAATGAACTTCGTGACGGCTCAAGCGCCTCTTCCCCTAAAAGATTTATATTATTAAGATAAATAAACGATAACTCCAAAATTTATTCCTCTTTCAGAAAAATCCTCCAATTCCCACATCAAAACATACAAAATCAGAACCAAAAATCAAACATTTTTCTCTTCTTCCTCGCATAATCCCACAGCTGTAGTTTACCAAGCTTCTCCCCTTTCCCTCCCTCAATATCCCCACTCCCGTACGCGTTTACCCACCAGAATCCTCGACTTCTTCTTCTTCCTTCCGCCATTTCCCCCCCACCACTAGAAAAGGGGGAAAATCCAGCAGCTTCATTCAACACGTCACTTCCCCCATCGGAACCCAGAAGCCCAAAATCACTAAAGATGCCGGGTTTCTTCGTTCCCTTCGCTCTCGCCGCGTTTCTCTTCCTACCCATCTGCTCGATTGCGCAGACTACCGGCGGCGGGACCCGAGCGACGCCCTCGGCGGCGGCGCCGGCGCCTGCTGCCGACGAATGCAACGGGATCTTTGTGTCTTATCGTACAGGGACCGGATCCAAGATCGCGCCCACGGACCCGAAGCACCAGCCCTACCGATTCGAGTCCACGCTCACGGTGCAGAACAACGGGATCGAGAGGCTCAAGTCGTGGCAGGTCTATGTAGGGTTCAAGCACGATGAGGTGTTGGTTTCGGCGAGCAACGCGATTTTGGCTGATGGGTCGAGCTACCCTGCTTTGGTGGGGAACGGCACGGTTTTTGCTGGGTTTCCGATGACCGACTTGAAGACGGCGATTGAGACCGCCGGGGACTCGACTCAGACGTCTGTTGAGGTTAAGATGCTCGGGACTCAGTTTGGGGTGAAGCCGCCGGCGATTCCCTGGCCGGAGAATATTACGTTGGTTAATGATGGATGGGCTTGTCCTGCTCCTTCCACTCTAGGTAAATTCAATGAGAAAGTCCTCTGTTCCTTCATTGTTTCTGTTCTAGTGAGATCTAATTATGGCGATGATTTGTTGATTTGGTCTGTGGGTGTTCATTGAATTAGACTAGGAATTGAATTGGGTTGTGGAATTTTGACTTGGATTGACTTGAATTGGAGCGTTCAATTTGCCGATTTCGAGAATATAGGGGCTGTTATTGCTGTTCGTTTGATTGTGTTCGTTACGTTGGCTTCATCGAAAGTGGTTTGCTGATGGATAGTCAATAGTTCGTAGATTCCTTCCTCTGTTTGCAGTGGCATTTGGCTGAGAAGTTTCTGAATTTGCTATACCTTGCTCTTTGATGTTGATGGAAAGCCATTTGTGTGTTGTTTCTTCTTCCTTAATGGTTCTTTCTGTCCAGGGGGAGCAATGTCTGTTTGTTGCATAAGAGATGAGAACGCCAAGAAGAACATAACACTACTCGACGGTGATTTCCTCCCTCGACAGAGCGGTGATCTCACCATTGCCTATGATGTGACCAAAGCATATGATTCCAGCTACTGGGCACAAGTCACTCTCACGAACCACAACCACTTGGGTCGTCTAGATAACTGGAAGCTCAGCTGGGACTGGATGCAGGACGAGTTTATCTTCTCCATGAAGGGCGCTTACCCTTCGATTGTCGACTCCTCGCCTTGCATATTTGGGCCACAGGGTGAGTACTACAAGCAGCTGGACTTCTCCACTGTTTTGAACTGTGAAAGAAGGCCAACCATCATCGATCTCCCACCAACAAAATTCAATGACTCAACTGTCGGGATGGTCCCCTTCTGCTGCAGAAATGGGACAATCCTGCCGCCATCCATGGACCCGAGCAAGTCAGTATCTTCTTTTCAAATGCAGGTTTTCAAAATGCCACCAACTCTCAACCGGTCGGACCTTTCGCCTCCTCAGAACTGGAAAATCAATGGTACTTTGAACCCGGATTACCAATGTGGTCCGCCTGTGAGGGTTAGCCCGAGCGAGTTTGTAGACCCAAGTGGCCTCCCGTCGAACTCCACAGCTGTTGCCAGCTGGCAGGTGGTCTGCAACATCACTCAACCTAAAGGATCTTCGCCTCGATGCTGTGTGTCATTCTCTGCCTTTTACAACGACTCAGTCGTCCCATGTAACACATGTGCTTGCGGTTGCCCTAACCGAGCAGCTCGAACCTGTAGTGCTAGTGCTCCACCGGTTCTTCTCCCACCAAATGCTCTCTTGGTTCCTTTCGACAATCGGACCATCATGGCAAGTGCTTGGGCGAATATAAAGCACCGGCAGGTCCCTAACCCAATGCCTTGTCCTGATAACTGTGGGGTCAGTATTAACTGGCATATTAACACTGATTACAATCGAGGATGGAGTGCTAGGGTCACTCTCTTCAACTGGGCCGAGATTCCTTTCCCTGATTGGTTTGTTGCAGCAGAGATGGATAAGGCAGCTGGTGGGTTTGAGGCCATGTACTCGTTTAATGGAACGATGTTGAAGAACTCCAACAGTACTATATTCATGCAGGGTCTTCCAGGGTTGAACTATCTTGTAGGTGAGACTGATGGGTTGAACCCAAGTAAAGATCCGCGAGTGCCTGGAAAACAGCAGTCAGTGATCTCATTTACTAAGAGGACTACACCAGGGATCAATGTGCCTTTAGGAGATGGGTTTCCAACGAAAGTGTACTTCAATGGTGAAGAGTGTTCGCTTCCTTCGATGTATCCGACGAGTGCTGTCAGCAGAAGGGCACCTGCAAGTATCATATCTGTTATCCTAGCAGCTCTGCTGGCATCTATATTGATGAAGGAGCTATGCTAGCAACTTTGTGGGGAGATGAGATGATTTTTTCATTATTTTTCTCGGGTTTTAGGCCACGCTGGAGAGGTCCTTGAAGATGTGCAAACAATTCGACACTGGTAAATACTCTGAGGTTTGTTTGTTTGGAGGCTGGTGATGAATGGGTTTGTTAGGAGAGGATAGGGTTCTCTATCTGAAAACCCTTGTAGCTGATATCAGCACTTGGTCGCAGACATACTGAATCGAACCTAAATGTACAACGGCGTGATTACTCTCTGTAGAGATGTTTCCATGATTGACAGGATGTCTAGATTGATTCTTTGTGCTGCTCGTACTACTCCTCATACTACTGCTACTATGTTCTACTTTCTTTGTAAGTTTTATTCTATGATAGAGATCAATCTTGAACTGATCAGTCTTTGTATTATATAACTGTTTGTTACCTTTGGGGTGAATCTTGAATATATTTTGCCACATAATGATGAAGTTTACTGCTTGACCAGATCTACTACTTTCGCATTCTTGGAAAGGAAGGAATGTTATCGACACACATGACCCCTTTTTTTTTACCACATTACACTTGTTGGGTTTAGACTCACTTTAGAGTTTACTGGTCAGAACTTACAAGACACATATATACAGATAGAACACAACTACACTGTGAGCCGGACAATACCCACCTAGTGTAAATCAAATCGAGTAAATACCAATAGAGCGGGTTCAAAATGTCATCCGTATTCTCCATGTTTCTTTTCTCTAATATACAGGTGGGCAAATACTAGATTTTCAAGTGACTAATACAATTATACAAAACACCAGAAAAAACACCTGCCAATCTACAATACAGGCCATTCTGGACGAAAACTTTTGAGATTCTATATGGATGCTTGACGCATTGCTAAATTACACTGTGCTTGATTATTCATCTTTGTACCATGTTATTAATACAAAACAGATCTCAAATACAGACAAGCTCAATACACAATGTTGCTTCTGTCTACAACTCAGAAACACAAAGCAAGAGGCTTTCATCAAATAAGAACATGAGAAAGCCACCTGCAATATTTTTTCAGTACAAAAGGAAGAAGATAAAAAGAACATCCTGGGGGAAAATATACCAGGAGGGGACTTATGTCTAAAAGAGCAATCAAATGGCGGTGGGGGAGAGATAGTATGTACAACTCAAGGGTCAGTTTCCTCAAATAACAAATCTGAAAAGAAGCTGGAAAGCAAAACAAACAGAAATCCTGACAATATGTGTTATTAGAGTTAGAAAAGTGGAAAAAAAGAAAAGGCAGCCCTACATTCTTCCTGCAATCTTCTACTGAAAGCTTATAATCCTCCTTCACTGAATTTCAATTTTTCTAACCCAAATAACCACAAAGTCTCCACAAATTTCCACCATCCTAAGAATTAGCTTTCTTTTGGTTCCTCTTTTGCTTCTGCTGGACTTTCCCTCCCAAACAGTTCCATCCAAAAATATTGCATATCATGCTGCTGGTGGTGGTAACCCTTTTGATCGTTCCTGTTCTTCTACATGTCACCACCTTCGGCAGAGCACAGCAGAGAGCTTGTCCTCAAATATTCACAAATGAAATGCAGCTACGTCGAATGCAGAAAACTCTTTCCTCCTAACCAAGAAGCTACTAGAACTTTTGAATATCTATGCTGCTGTCCTTGAAGAGAAAAATCAGGAGGGTCCACAGGCAACAGCAGGTATGTACATTCAGCAGTGGCCATCGCCATGAGGGACTTGATCGTCACGCGTGCTTAAAACCTTGTTTGTTCATTCCTAGACGGGAATATTGTCGATGGAATACCCATCGAAGTCAAAGTCATTCTCCAACGGTTCTATCCCTCCCTGTCCCTGCTGCTGCAAGAAGTGGTAAAACACGAATCACAACATGAGTAAAGTAGCAAACAAATTGTTGAACCACAGTTTTGGATAAGAACATGAATAAAAACGAAAAAAAAAGGACAAGGGACGTACTTGTCTGAGTAGAGCGCTCATGAGATCATCCTGACCAAACTGCTCCGGAAATAATGGAGGTTCGAGCTTAACTCGAACTGGATTATTATCGGGGTAGAAGTTATTAATGTTCATACGATGTTGACCCACGCTTATTGCATTGTTATTGTTGTTCGCATGAACAGTAGATGCATTCCTGGTCAGGCCACTTCCTTGGCTCGATGACGAGAAGCCCGAATGATGAGATGCTACGATTGAAGTCCCGAGAACATCGATGCTATTATTGGCTTGCTGAGTTGCATTGAATGTTAACCCTACATTTTGCAATTCCCAATCATGGGACTTCTGTTGGTGATTCAACTCATTGAAGATGTCATAGCTAGGCATGAATCCTGGAGTTGATCCCTTCATCTCTGAGGTCAAATCTTCTGGAAATCCACTTTTGGCTTGAATATTCGGGAGAGGATAGCTGCTGCTTAAGTTCATCATTGGTGAAGACTGAGAAATTGAATTATAGTTACCCATCGGCTGCTGCCCTCTCAACGGTGGTTGATCAGTCATTTGCATCAATAGAGACCCACTCTGTACACTTTGAACATTCTGAACAGTGGGAAGTGAATTTCCCTGGTGCTGCAGATTCACTAGCTGCTTGGGCTGCATGTTGGTTGGGATTCCATGGAGCATGTTAATCTGCTTCCCCCCATTGTTCAAATGTTGTGGTGGTTGTTGGGTGTCTCCAAACGAGAGCTTAGGATTTTCGAAGCTGAAGAGGTTCCGCTGGTCAACCACCGGGATTGGGATCCTGGATTTGGCAGCTACTACTGCTCGACCTAATCCTGCTGCTTGAAGAGTGGCGAGGCTTTGTGCTGGCAGCTGACCGGTTGCTGCAAGGGTTTGCAAGTCGATTCCATTAAGCGTTGATAATGGTCCATATCCCGGGTCTTGAGGGTTCATGAAAGAGTTGCCCAAATTATTCTGGTGTGGAGAAACACCGCTTAGCCTTCTTAGATACAATCGATATTTCTGTACCTCACAAGAGCAAATACTGTATTAGAATTTAGGACAAAAAGCTCAACACAAGGAAATACGTCATTTTGATGTTGAGAAATTTCAAGTACTCTCAAATGAATCGAATGTGTTGTGCATTTGTTTGATTAGGTGCAAATTCAAAATACTCCTCTCCCATATACACCACCAATTAAAAGACTAAATCGAGTTAGGGCCATACCTGAAGGTGGCTAGCAACATTTTCTCTTGTGAGTCCAGGCACATTCATCAGCTCGAGAATCTTCTTTGGCACGGCTTCTACAATTGTATCGACCAAATATACATAGAGATTAATGAAATGGACCCAAAAATAAAAGGCCTGATTGACAGTGTAGTTGACCTCAAATAGTAAGTGAGAGCCGGAGAGAGAACACATACTGTCGATTCCAAGCTGATTCACAGCACCAACAAACTGTTGATGCAGCTCGACAGACCAAACAACACGAGGCTTCTTCAACGTGGAAGTATCATCCCTATCCTCTCCATCCTCATCCTCGTCTTTCCTTCTCTTGGAGTTTCTCCAATTACCCTCATTGACCGAGGACGAATAATCGCCATCCTCCGAGTACTTCGGCTGCTGCCCATCATCGGCACTCCCAGACTGCTGATCCACTTCCTTCCACTCGTTCTTCCGCTTTCGTACCACGTGCTGCCATATGTTCTTCAAAGCCTCGATCCGGACCGGCTTTATCAGGTAATCACAAGCACCATGAGTTACTCCCTTCATCACCACACTCTTAGAGTCATCCGCGGACATCACTGCACCAAACTCTCACTAATCATAAGAATCTTAATTGAGTTATGGAGATCAAAAGTGAAGAAAGAAATGAAAAGGAGAAATTTGTATACTTATAACAGGTAGATCCATTTCCAAACCAACATGCTCCAGCAACTTGAATCCGTCCATGTCTGGCATATGGACATCGCTAATGACTATATCGTAGCCATTACTATTCCCTCTTAGGATTGAGAGTGCTTCTTCTGCTCTACTGCATCTTTTCACTGAATTGAATACAAACAAAATAAATCAGAGATAGAAAAAAAAAGGTCAAAACAAATCATGCCAAGTCAAACCAAGTCGGCATCTTTATCCCAAAACAACAATTGGGTAAGTTCATAACAACCAAAACTTTGGCTAATCTTCAAGCAAAGCCGAATCTCAAATCTAAATGAACATCCTTAGGATCTTATGACCCAAACTGGAAGCTGGAAGGGAAATAGGAATTGGGAAGTTAGCGTTTACCTTCATACTTGCAAGTTCTGAGCATCTTTTCCAGAATCATAAGGCAAGTGGGATCGTCATCTACTACCATAACACGAAGTCCCACCGGAAACTTATCAGCAACCGGGGCTTCATTAGATTTCCAGCTAACCCTCGAGCTAGTGGAGACAGATCCCTTTCCGTTGCTGGGATTCATACTTCTCTACTCCTTTTCTCCCCGCAGGAACCCAAAGCGGGAAAAGACAAACGGTGTGATCCCACCACACACAGCAATTGAAAGAACGAAGCAGTAAAAAGAGAGGTAGTATTAAAGGAGAGACAGAACAGAGGAAAGCGAGAATTTCACATTAGCTTGAAGTTGGAAGTTGGCATCAAGGAATAGGGGAAAAGGAAAGTGAGAAGAAGAAAGGTTAAGGCGAGCGAGAAGACAACCTCTCTCTCCGAGAGTTCTAAGGAAGAGAGCGAAAAGAAAGGGGAAAGAAAAACTGAAGCTCGAGAACTGTTGGAGAGAATAGGGGAAGAAAGAAGAGAAAGAGGGAAGAAAATGAATGAGGTGAAGCTGAATTTTTTTTTTTTTTTTTTGGATTATTTGATAAGGTGGAAGAAAAATCAATTATTGTTTTTATGGGAAAATGAATTATTATTTTATATATTTAATTAATTATTGAGGAGAGGGGGGAAAGCAAATGGAAATTTTTAGTTATTATTTTCTTTTGTTTTCCTTTTTGTGATAAGACATGGCTTTGTATGAGCTTGAAACTCAGTTCATCTGTTTTGCTGGGCTTTGCATAAGCGTGGATTACAGGTCACTAAACTTTATAGTCACTTACATATTGGTCATCAAACTTTTAATACTTGAATGGCATCGTCACCAAAGTTTTGAGTAAGTAAAATAACTCCCCATCGTCGCTCGATCTTCATTAGATTCTTTTTCCACTTGGTCAACTCGGTATGTCAAACTCACCAGGTGGTAAAAAACGGTCGCACAAACACTTAATTTTGTTACTAGGTTTCAAATTATCCTCTATTCAAGTTGCAAAGGCCAATGATGATCTAATGGAGATGGGAATGTTGTGTGAACGAACTTGAAGGCGCTGAAATAAAGACAGGACATCCATCTTGAAATTTTGTGAAGCAGATTGGAAATGAAACAGCTTGCTTAATACCTCATGCAAAATATTGATGTGATGACCATAAAATGTGAAACTATAGGCCTCTAATTTTCACAATCTCATGATTCCAGCTTGATTGCACCGTTATTCCTTACTAATGCAATAATTCATGGTGGTTGATGACTTTCTCTTATGGAATTTGTTCGAGTCGGATATAAATCCCTATCTCTAGCTTCACCGGAAGGTATACATCTATTTAATCGTTAAATTGGCAGAAAGAGAATGAACATGAAGTGGCTGATAATATTAATTAATTCGAATAATTAAAGTCAACATCGATGGACCAATTTGTTATGACCCCAAATTGAGCAGTCATTTGTGTAATTGACCCATATTTTATAAGAAATTATAAAGAATAATAATTTTTTTTCTATTTGAAAAAAAAGTGGGGTGGGACACTCCTGAAAGAGTGGATCCAGCTCATATGGAGAGTTAACTAACTCCACCCCACACCTCACAATCTAACTTTTTTTTCTTTTTTTACTTTCCAGATTTACTGTTTACTTTGCCTTATCTACTCGCATTTTTTATTTTATTTTTACATATGACATGTGTGAATATAGTCATTCACAAAGATAATGAATATTAATTCAGATATTTAAAGTCATAATTAATCATTTTTACAAGAACATGATATATACTGGATATCCAAAAATCGACAGTGTGACAATAAATTTGGTTATAATGGTATTTTGTACTTAATATGATTATTATTCATTATAAAAAATTATTATCCTAATCTTGTATTTTCATCGTATTCACTCAGTTTCATATTCAAAAATTATTTATTGACAAAAGTGAAATGGCATATCTGCAAGATAATTTTGATGGAAGAATGACTTCAAATTTTAGTTTATCTAATATGACATTAATCAAAATTATACATTTTTCAACTTTTAAATAAAAAAATTCAAATTATAAGATAAAATTTTGTTAAAATCACTCAATTCTCGGTTACTAGATTTTCTAAACTTGTAACAACTTATCGAGTACAATTTCTAACAAAAAAAAAAACTTATCGAGTACAAATTTAAGAAGAATCAAATTGAAGAAGGAAAATAAAATTCTTCCTTGGAAAAACGGTTTTTTTTTTTTTGGTGAAAAACAGGGCGCAAAGGGCGCCCTAACCTTAATTAAGAACTGACAAACCGGGGCGTTTGAATCCCCAAAGTATCGAAGTACAACCAATATAGAAGAGTGCTACTCGGGTTATGAATCACATGAACCCCTATAGGAACAGAATGGCCAATGAAAGCGAGGTGGTCAGCCACGAAATTCGCTTCTCTGAAAACATGCTCTATCCTGACAAGCCAAGGCCGAGCTAGCCATTGGCGGATCTCCGCGACGCACGAGTAATGTGGATGCTGCGGTGTGGCTTTATCGATCAGCATCCGGGCAGTGCGGGAATCTGTCTGTAGGACAACCTTCCTGATTCCCTCTTCCCAAGCAAGTCTCAACCCATAAGCAATCCCAGCCAGCTCAGCACGAGTGATCGAACCCCCTCCAAGGTTTGCTGTGAAAGCTCTAATTAGGTGGCCATCGTCTCCCCTCACGACTCCACCACAACTCGTGCTAGCAGGATTAAGAGTAGCCGAGCCATCGGTGTTAACACAGGCCCAACCACTCGGCGGTGGCTCCCAGTGTATTTCCCGCCTCTTTCATGATATAATTCATGTCTTCATTTAATTGAATGGTTAATCTGCATCCGAATTGGCTATATTCCTGGATGAGGTTGTAGTGTTTAGATACTGTTGGGGATGTGACTCGGATCTCAACACGCCGAAAAAATACCCAAGGATGCTCACGTCAAGGTCAACGCGCGAGTCACGCCAGAGCCAAGCGCGAGCGTAAAGACCGACCCCAAGAACCGCGCATAGACGCCAAACGACGGCGCTTTGGACAAGCGCGGGCTCTCACCGAGAAGTTGTAGAAGCGGCGCCGCGTCACCCAAAGGGTAGTCAACATCATAGTCCTAGGTATAGTCATGGCTAAGGGTCTTGTCACCCATAGGGATATGGTCTTTGTCCCTGACATGTCAGTGGTCATGTCACCGTACCGTAGTGGTCACGTCATTGTACCGTCATGTAACTCACCCACCACCATGTAGCCTATAAATACGGCATTTACTCCGGTGGGTGAGGGGATCGGATTTTTCAGACTCTATCTCTAAGATCATTACTTTCTCTCACTAAACACTCTCTCTCTCTCTCTCTCAGCTCTATCCTCCCTCTCATTTGTCTCAAAGTCCCTGTTCAACCAAGCCGTTCATTCTTCTCGACCCATTCTAGTGAACCTCACTCCTACACTCAGTTAGGTTCAAACAGATACCATTCATCGAATTTATTAGTTCTAATGAACATCCTATTAATTAGCTTCCTCTTACTATCCAGATAACTGAATCATGTAAAATTGATGGTTTTAGTATGAAACCAATTTTGATATTATGCTACATCGTAGCAATATTCGGTCTTTCGAAACATTGATCAATACTCCTACATAATTTGAGTTGTCGAAAAAAAAATTATATTGTTTCATTACATGTGTCGGTTCGTCCAAATAACTAGTACGGTAGGAAGATTATTCCAAGTATGTCAAATTAACTCGAGTTATCGAAAGAATTTCAAGAAGGAACACTTTATATTATTCGTTAGACCTCCCGCTTATTCCAATATATAATTTGAATTGTCTCAAAATATTTGAACAATTATATGTTCCATGCACTGGTACAAGCAATTGAGTCCGTGCTAGATCATCTAAAGTGCTAACTGAAGTTTTTGTTCGATTTTGAACTACTTGATAAATAGCCATAAATTTATATCCTCCTTATGTGTTATTGATCTATTCGACACAAACAAAAAAGTTACATATGCAATTTAACCATATTTTATGAGTCATTACAAGTAATGACTCTGACTATTCAAGTCAATGATGAATTTCATATAATTTGCATAAGAGTAGCTCTCAATAAAAACAATATGTTGGAGAATAGGGGGAAAACACAATAATTTTAAGGAAATAATAATCAATCAATGTAATGGCCTTCTTTTTTTTGGGAAAGTCTAGTTAGTGTGTGTGCATTAATGTTGATACATGCTTCAATCAAAAGAAGTAATAATGTTTGATCATATATGGTATAATGATTGATGACTAAGATTGGTTTTTGCTTTGCATGTTTCCAAAACAAGAGTTGGGAAAGTAGTACTATATTGTTTATTTTGAAAATAAAAAATTGTTCAACATATATAATTGAATAATGATTGGTAAATTGATCACTAATTTGATTTTGAAGATCATTTTAATAAAATTAATAAAAAAAATCATTCCACAGTTGCATCAAATAAAAATTTTAGAAGGGTGTCTAAAAACGTTATTTCAAATTTTGTAACGACGAAATATTAAATTTTCACAGAAATACCATACTCCTTTAATCTAGGTATGCCACTGACTGTACACCTAATAATCTTTTCTTTAGAAGTGCGCAATGGTCTGATATGTACCGGATTGCACCGAATCAAACCGAACGATCGGACCGCACCAAATCGAGTATAATGCGGTCCAATCCTTGGTCTTGATATCTTTTACGATTACTAGAAAAATGATGGACCAAACTGATATTTGAATCATACCAACCCTAATCAAATAAACTGAATGCAATAATGATTCGATCCTGTACTAAGATATATTTCACTGAAATTATTTACAGCTTTTTCTTATTATGATACTTTTTTGTGAACCTTTCATTTTCAACTTTGATGGTAACTGTCCCTCCATTGATGAGGGTGTTTTCATTTTTCACCTCTCCCACACTCAACTTCAATCTCTGGCTTTCCCCCGCGTTGCCACGTGGTGACTTCCTTCGTGGAATTTGGATAGGTTTTGTTTGGCTTGTATTGGTTTTTTTCAACTCTTTACCCTCTTATCCTCTCACTCTATGTATTTAGTCTTCATAACTCCTTATATAGTGGGTTGTTACTTGAAATATTAAAAGTTAAATGCAAATCTCAAATTATGGGAAATTTTTTGAACAATATTTTTGTAATATATGTTTTGTGTGCACGATTGACCTAATATAAAAAAAATTGTATAAACGATGGAGTATGATTATTCGTTTATGATATGTCAATAATATTCGAATTGAACACATATAAAAAAATGATTGTTTAATCGTAGTTAACCCTAAGGTAAAATTACCTTCTTTCTTACCTTATTTACCAGTTACCATAAACAATAAACTTGATAATCCGAAAGCAACCCCACTTTGAGGTTCTTCAAGGGAACGGATCAGGTCAGTAACCTTATGGTGAGTAACCACCCACATCAGCATGACATCAGCATCCTCTCTCTCTCCTGGAAAGCCTTTAATTTTCCCCTCTTTAATCTTTGACGGACGATTTCTCACTCATTTTAAGTCGAAATTTAATTTTTTTTGCACAGTTAGATCAGATTAATTGTGCTCTTAAAAATGATATCCACTTTAATATATTTTTCGAACAAAAAAAATTGAGCCATTTTTTACCAGTCTATACCATATGGTATTGACTGGTATTGAAATAAAAGCATACCTATGGTTTGAAAAACATACCATGGTGGTATGAACAAACCAAGACTGTAGGATGGTTATGCATGATAGTAGAAGTATATTAATTGTCATTTACGACTTTTAACATTGTATGGTATTGTGTGGTATTTTTTGGTCCTGTAATTTGTTCACTAAAAAATTTGTAGATCCAATAGATCATGATGAACTCGTCCTTTCTGTGCAAACGTTTTCAAAAACGAATTAAAAACGAAGAAGATACCATACAACCAGGGTGGTATTGTATGGTATTGTGTGGTATTTTTGGTCCTGTAATTTGTTCACCCAGAAATTTGTAGATCCAATAGATCATGATGAACTCGTCCCTTCTGTGCAAACTTTTTCAAAAATGAATTAAAAACGAAGAAAATACCATATGGTATGCAGTTGGTACCGAGAGGCCAGAAATTTTTTTTCTAAAAAAATATTGAAAATTATTCTCATTTGGTAGAGCACGATGAACTCGTTCCATCTGTGCAAAAAAAATTAAAATCCGAGTTAAAACGAAAAAGATATGAGTCGATTAAGAAAGTTAGGAAACATAAAAATGGTCCTTAATTTTTCATTCTTAGATCTGAATTTTTTAAATAAAGGGTCCAGATTTATGCACCCTATCTTGAACAGTTCTTCAAGCTTTATGGTTTTTTTTTCCCTCTCTAATTGCTTTGCTATTTTTCTTACTTACAAGCTATACCATATGGATTTGTCTTTTCTGCCGCCAGCCCATATACGATATTGGATGAATGCATTTGAAAATGGTTGGTAGTGGCACAAGATAAATCAGATAGTGCTAAGCTGCTTCATTAGGATAAACTAAGGTTTAATGATCCATTATAAAAGGTTAATCATGCACAAGAATGGTGATAATGATAGTCTAATATGAGTCTACTATTAATTGGATATTTGGAGGGTTTGGCAATACTAAACAAGCAATGCCCACTAACCAAAATTTTGTCAAATATGGAGTATGGTGTTACTAGTTGTTAGAGTGAGGTTAATTAATTAAATCACGGTTAGCAACCACGTCT